AATAAGTGGAGGCATTAATAACTCGATGAATTCTTGTTTATTTAAATGATGACCAACAGAATCAGCCAAGGTTCCAATAGCGTCGTATAATATCAGTAAATTTTTATGCTTAAAAACAGAAGAGATAACTTTATTGTCGCTAGCACGAAATCAATCACAAGAAATTTAGCAAACAACTGAAGTAATGTCCGATATTACGCCACACGTTAGGATCTTACAAGTTGTTTTACAAACTTAAACCGATATCAGGACGAGTTTGTATTGTTTACTTGCCGTGACAAGTTTGAAACGACTTTTTATTTTAATAATCATTGATGGAACAAGCATGTGTACAGTACTTTGCATATATATATACATATATACTGTAAAGTGAACAAGTAATATCAGATTTGTCCGACTGACAACCTGTTCAACGCATCCGCGTGGGCGGGTGCTCACTACCAAGAGATATCCTTACCCCTTCAAAAAAAGAAGAAGCCAACATCAAACCAGTGAATACTGAAATGTTTAATAATAGAGTGTAGAGGGTACATATAGAGTACAGAGGGTACATTTTAATGGTAAAATCCTCACTACCCTTTTTCATAAATGGTTTAATCAGAGACGAATAAGAGAGTTCTGTATAGTTGAATAGCTGATGGATCTTTAAAACAATGCGAGGTCATACAGACCTCATTTTTCTGGGATCTTATGCAACGCATATTAATAATTTCATGCAGGGACGTTCATTACCTGGTATTTTCCAAAAGCAAATACCAATGTTTGAAGTATATATCCAAGATAAGGCACCAGTTCAGTACAAGCTTCCTCTTCCAGTGTAGCAAAAGCACTGGATAATCAAAATTGACGTAACTAAGTGAAATGCCTGATGCGAGCAGGACACTAGGGGCTGGGGCATTGAACAAGCAAAAATATGAACTGAAAGCCTTTGAATGATAGCAGAATAACTGTGTAACAAAGCTTTATCAATTTAATATTACAACCATGTGATGAAAGCCCTACACGTATGATAAGCCCAATTATTCCAAATTGATTTTTAATTATTGTAACTGCATGGTGGGTAAGTCGCAGTGTGTAAACGTACAGTACCTTTATAGTCACGATTCAAATCTTAGTATAAGTTGTTATAACTAATATGTCTAATAACGAATTGTCTAATCTGTCTTTATTTGTCTTTAATTAGTATATATTTTCAGTACAAACATTGTGCATAAAAAACGCAACATTTTACAAGATATAATGACTTACGAAGATATAATGACTTACTTAAGAAAAAATATAGTTGTTTTTCAATAGGATACCGATAAATATGGGCTAATACAAATTAAATCTTGGAGATCACTTATAAATATCTCAAGAGTCAACCATTTTCTGGGACGCCAAGCGCCAAAAGGATCAATGGCATGATACTCACTCTTTAGTTAGTTAGTTTGCATACCTGCATGCCGCCTCTTGCACTCTTTTGTTACTGTCCAAAATTCTTTTCAGAAGCTGAAATTAACAAGAATTTACCTGACGAACGGTAACTTTTAAAATCCAAGAGATTTCTCATACCTATACAATATCCTGTACCACACCCGTAAATTGTCCCGTAATTTAATTCAATGCTTGGTCCGAAACAGGGCCAGTACGACCTACTTTGCGAACTGGTAAGATGGCAAGATACCTATGTATACCTGGATATATCTGGGATATAAAAGACCCTTGAAAACCTGGACAAAAATTTCATCACAGCTTCATTGAAAATTAGTAATATTCCGAAGTTTCGTTGCGAAATGTTGTAAAATGCGGATAATATAGTCTTGCGAAGTTTGCCGTTTTTCAGTCATTTTGTATTACAAATGGGAAATTGATAATCAGTTTGATCATCTGATTATCAATTTCCCGTTTGTAATACAAAATGACTGAAAAACGGCAAACTTCGCAAGGCTATATTATCCGCATTTTACAACATTTCGCAACGAAACTTCGGAATATTACTAATTTTGTGATGCTCTTTCAAGCTGTGATGAAATTCTTGTCCAGGCTTGTCTGGATCAAAATGTCACTCGTAAGGGGAAAGGTCTATTGCAAAACACCTTGCTATCTTAATCACAGATCTCTAAATACGTTTCTTAAACTTTAATGCTTTGTACTATTGCATGTTATCAAGATGCTGGCAAGATATCAATATTATTTTCCAAGGCAATATCATACCTCACTCATAAGTCTTTGGAAATACAACTCATGCGGTTGATTTACAACCCAGTGAGCGTAACGACTCAGTGTCCAACAGGTTATAGAACGGACAAGTGCCTAAATATGAACAAAATACTTTGGTTTATTTGTTAATACAACTCCCCTGCATGTTATTTGGTTTCATTTGTATAACATGTACTAGATATTACAGCAAGACGTACCTTTTTCTCCGAGAGACAATTGATAAGAAATGGAAGTAACTCTGGAAGATGAGGAGTCATGCCATTCACACAACCTGAAATTTCAGAGAAGAATAATGTTGTGCAGGCCTTAAAATATCTTTTACAGGGCCGTCTGACAAAATGTCCGATGACTTTGAGTTTGGATCGGACATATGTCCGATCAGTTCAGTTTGGGTCGGAAATAAGTCTGAATAACGCAAATTAATATCAGCATAATCTATTCATTCTGAACTAAATGTTGTGAAGATACTAAATAATTTGTGTCATTCATACTTATTTCCAAGCCAAAATTAACTTGCTTGCCAATGATAGCAGTACGACTTCGATAACTTAAGCTCGTTTTCCACCTCGCCATTTCACTCGCCGCCCCGCAACATTTTTATACAAACTCTGGTTCTGGACTAGGGTACATTTTGATTTACGTGCGTGGAGAAAGCGTCAGACAAAGCTACAGTTCGGTCGGACACCAATACACTCGGGTCGGACAAACAATAAACCTCAGTTTCACTTAGGTCGGACAGAATGTCCGGTGGTTTCCTCTCTACGTCGGACAATTTGATGAATGGGTCGGACAATGTCCGTGACCGACCGATATTTTAAGGCTTGATGTTGTGGTAGGTTATGGTATACAGAGTATATAAACAAGTACATATACAGTAAAAACTATTTTTTTTGACAGTTCAAATAAATTATGGTCTGCCATTTCTATTTTTGAACTGCCAAAATTGTCTCACTCAGGTATGACGTTACGGCAAATGGCTAACTCAAAATGGCGAACTGTATCTTCGATAGTATTTCGCCTGCCATTTTATTTTTGACTTGGCAGGTCAAAATCCCCCCCCCCCCCTCGCCTATGGTCATTGGCAGGCCACTATTTCGAGCCCTGTTATGAGGTGTTGTAACATGTTTAAACTTTACAACATCATGTGGCATAAACATTGTCCTGCATGCCTAAGTAGTAGCCAATCCCAGTTACCTTCAGCAATTGCGCCCAAGACAAGAATTCCAGACTCTCTGACTTCCCAATCACCATGGAATAACGTTTCTTTTAATATTGTCAACAATACAGGTAACAATTCATCTCGGAATACATTAGCTAACACATCAAGTGCAGCTGCTGAACACTTTCCTAAGAAATAATATGCACATTAGTAAAAACTTAAGGATACCAGTGAGAAATTCAGGATACCATTAACTGTTCATACTAATTCTGACACTGCAAAGAGCAACCAAAAATTCGTTGTTTCGAGAAAGTGTTGAACTGGTATCGGGCTTCTAGACGACCGCAAACAAAAACGTTTCTGAATTTGTTCAATCTTTTTTCTTCCTGGGAGCTTAAAATGCATGTTCCCATGCGTTGGTGGAGAAACATTCGAGGAAACGTCCGAATTTCCATCAGTGGCAGACACTTCGTGAAATATTGGGTAGGTGGGTGGGAATTTGGGTTGCAACTATATTACCAACCTCTTATGGTGCAAGTCTCAGTTCTTTAAATGGTTTGCCTTAAATATCATACAAATTTGCTTAATTTCTAGCCTACCAATATTTCCATGGTTATAACATTACCGTAAACCTCCGACTATAAGCCCCCCCCCCCCGAATATAAGCCTCCCCCCGTGTATAAGCCCACCACATGTACTAACGCTCACCTCATTCCAAATATAAGCCCCCGAATATAACCCCCCCGAATAAGCCCACCCAAATATAAGTCCCACAATTAATATAAGTCCAGTAATAGCTGCTTAATACACGTTTACTCCCTGTTTATGACTGACTTGTTTATGTCTGACTTGTTTATTACTAACACAAAAGATCGTCCTTGTATAAGCCCACCCGTATATAAGCCCCCCCCCCCTTTGTATAAGCCCATCAAAAATCGCTTACGAAAGTATATAAGCCCAGGGCTTATAGTCGGAGGTTTACGGTATTGAACTACAGCTTTATTGCACTGTTATTCAGTTACCATTCAAAGGCTTTCAGAAATTATTGATGGGGGAGCTATAGCGGTAAATTTTAAAATACTCCCGTAAGGCATCTTACTCAGATTCCAGTCCGATAATGAATCATCATCAATATCGTCATCTTCATCATCTGAAAGCTCGCTATCTTCTCTTTTCAGACTATGTGTTTTTGATTTATGAAATCGAGGTTTGATATCTTGCTCACTGTCAGGAACACTTTCATCTTCCTCAACATCTCCCTGCATGAAAATGGTTGGGGGAAAACAGATTCCCTTGAACAATCACAGAAAGCGGTTTTTCTTAACGCTTTTCATACACGATAGTGATAGTAACTTAACGCTTTTAAGAATACAATAGTGATATAGTATTTTATTCTCTCTAATGCACGCATGTAAAAAACAAACCTTGAGCAGAATGATATCAATCTCAGAATACTTCATTCCATTCACTAATATTGGAACCAATCTAAAACAACCAATACAAGTGCAACTATGAACAAATATTTTTCAGGTACTTTTCATACGCAAGTTCGCAGTTTATAAACAAGTTTTTTCAAACACTTTGACTTGGCATACGCAAAACCCTCTAACCGTTGTTTCACAGTTGTAAAATATCTTTAGGTAATTGCCTGAATGAGAATTGAAGTAATTTCATGCTCTTCTACCGTTTTATATACCTGTAACTAATTTAATGACAATTAACGTCCAAGAGCCTGAGACTGAAGATATATTCGCTTTGCTAAATATCACTTCATTCTTTGTGTATATGTTGTATATATTGAAGATGTATATGTATCGTCAACTACAATAAGATTATAAGGTCTCGTTTTTCGGGTCAAGGGCCAAAAGTCCATTTAATTTCTTTACACACTGCAATGGACTGCTCTGTGCGAGTCAATAAAAACATACCGACTAAGATATGGAGTGAGACATTCTTTACAAATTGATTGCTCAGCCAACGTAAGCCAAAATTCGCACGCTTCTAAAGCCACATTCTCATCGCTGTCTTGTGTTCGGATTAACATGTACTAAAACAAAGAAATGACGTCATTTCAATTGCGTGGGGCTGAATAACTTGACGTACTGCAAGAAGATGTCATGAACCCAGCTTGAAGCTCGACAGAAATTTTCAACATAAAACCGTCTGTAAGTAATGATGCGATTTGTATAGGTAATAGCATGGTTTCGAGTGCAATTTGGATAACATGCACGAGTGAGTTTTTCAAAGACTTCAAAATAGCACGAGTCCGAAGGACGAGTGCTATTTGAGGTCTTTGAAAAACTCACTCAATTTTTGTTAGTCTTGTTTAAGGTAAATGCTTTTCCAAAGCCACATTTTCCACGCGAAGGCAACTTTTACTTTATGTAGCGCGGCGCCATGTTTGTTTTGTTTTGTTTTGAAGCAATCTGTGACCGTTACTTCTTTAAACTAAATTGCTTTAAACTGATTCGTTGATTTAATCATCACAATGTTTTTCCACCAATCAGATCAGTTTGTTACAGATTTTTGCACTGTGATTACAGAAAATTGCATTGTGATTACAAAAAATTGCACTGTGATTACAGAAAATTGCACTGTGATTACAGAAAATTCCACTGCTGTTTGGGATTAACTGCACTGAAATCAACCAATCACAGTCGAGTAAAATCTTTATGTATATTATTATGTGAGTAATGATGAGCAATGATGGCAAGTAATGATGCGTGTGATTTTTCAATCTGGTTGACTGGTTATTTCTAGCTTGGGTTGATAGACTTTTTGTTAAAAAATTCATAAGTCCAATTTTCATGCATGGTTAATCCAATTGCATGTGCATCTTTGTGTGTAAATACAATACCTCTATAATGTTGTTCATATGAGGCAGTAACTGATCACTACGGACTTCCAGCAACATGACAAGTGCTCGACAAACATTCTTCCTTACTTCTGGGTCCTCATCAGCAGCTAATGCAAATAAACTCTGAAAATAACACATCAATCACTTTAGTTTATTGAAAATCGCATGATAATCGAATATTAGAAAATAAACCGTGCATAAGCAATGAAATTTTGGCACGATGTAAAACAGGTAAATAAATCTTTTACAATTATATTACATTGACATCTACCTCAACAAATGACGTAATATGCACCATCAATGCTTGAGATCTTCCAATAATGAATTGATTTGTACAGGCGATGGCATGAGATCTGATAAACAGTAAATAAAATAAATTATCAGTTCCTTGTGTGTTAGCACGGTGGTAATAAAATTACAGTCGAACCTGTATTTAGCAGTGACCCTTGCAGGGGATTTCGCAAGTGGCCGCTTAATACAGGGTGACCGCTCATTGCAGGTCCAAGTACCACGATTGAAAAGGGTGTTATTGATTCTTATTATTAGCATGACAAAATTACTGGATGCTGATTGGTTGAGAGGAGTACAATTATTTCATTAATTGTACTGTAGTACAATTGATTTTCCCAAAACAAACAAAATGGCGGAAAGGTATTTTAAACACAAATGTGAAATGAAATTGCCGTGGAGGAACTAGACGAAAATACAAACAAAAGCACCAAATTTTGGTTCAAAGTCTGGCAGGACTGGGCTTTGGCGAGAGAATATGATGTTGACATTGAGAAGTACGTATCCAATTTTGTCATGCTAATAATAAACAAGTAATCATGCGATGGCAGTAATCATGCGATGGCAGTAATCATGCGATCGCATCTCGTGATGTTTGGAAATTTGCCAAATTGGACTCGCCCCGGCGGCTCGTCCAATTTTGGCAAAATTTCCAAACATCACTCGTACTATTAATCCCTAATTGTACTCGCCATCGCATGATTACCTATACTAAATAAAAAGAAGAGAACTGAAAATGACGAAAAATACAAAATGACAGAGCCATGTTAAGTTTAGTCGTTGCGGCGTACTAAGTTGGTTTAGCTCAACAAATTAATCACCCTTGATATGACTAGCAAAAGCTCTTGATATCCATTGGGTGACCGCATGTTTAATGCAGTTACAAAACAATGAAAATTATGTTTGGGACTGTGCGAAAGGTGCATGACTTCGTCCGCTTAATGGAGGCGACCGTTTAAAAAAGGTCACTTCAACAGAATTTAAATTACGAAATTTTCGGGACTTTACCAAATGACCGCTTAATAAAGTGAGACCGCTTAATGCGGTGCCACTTAACACAGGTTCGGCTGTAGTTTGTTTTTTGTGTAAAATAACAGATTTATTTACAGCATTTCGCAAATGCTTTCGATCCATACGCCAGCAGATCTTTACATATGCAACATTGTTTTAATCGACATTGTTGATTTTACTGATAAATGTGGATCTGCGTTAACGGACTTCACTTTGCCAAATTATCATGATGTTTTCCGCAAAGACACGGGTCCAAAATATTTTATATTTGCGTGTAGAAGAACTTTTCACCTTGTCCACAAGCTACGACTAAAGCTCAATACACCCTTTCGAAAATTACGTCATTTGGCCTGGGAGCCTCGCTCTCATGAATCGTGAGCCAATCACCTTGCGTAATTTACTAATGAGAGCGAGGCTCCAAGATCAAAAAATATGTGTGACGTAATTATCGAAAGGGTGTATAGAGAGGAAACAATTGACTATCAACAGTTCGTTAAGGAGAATGGAGTCAGCTTTATGTCTAACACAGGGTGCGATAACTTGAGATTTTCAGCCGTACCTGGCTGGTATTACTGCCGAAAAATACTGCCGCGTACTTATCAGTGAGTTGATACAAACTCGGCTGTATACTTAAAGTACATAAAGTATACAATGGATAGTTTTTTTTCTAAAAGATATTCAAGAAGGAACACAATTGCATATATCAACTGTATAAGAACTGTACAATTAGCCTTTCTCACGGTCGATTTTCCCGCCATTTTTGGGGTACTGCCTCTCCCACGTTTGAGAGTCTCCGCACCACGAATTTAGTATTGTAGTTGTTTGTATAATGGTAAATTTACAGTTACAACTTTTAAAAGTCACTTTTCACGTTGTTTGAATTGTCTAGAATCATGTACCCCCCAAATGGCGGATTTTGGCCTTCGTGAGAAAGACCATTACTCAGTACCATCTCATCCCATGTTCTCGAAGATGTCCGGATTTACACACATATATCTACTTTACGGTTTTGAATACCTTGGTCTTCGAAAGGTCATAATATGGTACCAAACAAAATGTAAGTACGCCGATAGTGAGAGTATCGCGTACCCACGTGGTGCCTGGGTGGAAAAAACCCAGAAAGTATACCGCGTACCGCCGGCAGGTAAGTACGCGAATTGTCGCACCCTGTCTAACCCAACACCGCGGAAAAACGTCTGCGCATGCGTCAACCTTACCTGTAATAGTATTGCGAACTTGATGAGAAGAACACCGCGGAAAAACGTCTGCGCATGCACCAAATTATGAAAATATGGCCGGGAATTTGAATATCAATTTCTAAAACAAAAACATGCTTATTAATTGGTCAAAAATTAGTAAAACAAACGAGAAAATATAGCAAATGGGTAGACTAG